CCCCCGGGGGTGATCAAAGATTTTTGTGCACAAGTTTGATTTTATGAAACTCTAATAAATTATGAGAGAAGCAAAATCACAAGAACAAAAGTTTGAAAATTGATACACATAAACATACCTACATACATCAAATAGAGCATATTAGGTTAGAAGAAAAAGGAAAAATCACTGCTAAAATTTGAGGAGTTCAGAGTATCTTTTCTTTGAAATAATAAAAGACAAACTTATTCAGTGCTACAACTAGTATACAATTAGATAAATTCCACATGTGATTATTAAAATAGCTCAAATATATTTATTTTCATTAAATAATTATGTACAAATAGCATTAATTTGACAATTTTTCATATTCATATTCTAAATGGAAAATAAATTTCGCCCAAATGGTCCATAATCTATGGGATTGTTGTGCAAATAATCCCCATCCTTTGAATTCTAATGTTAGCACAAACATGATTAACATTTTACTTAGCCCCATTTTTCTTCCACTAAAAAAGTGGATTAAAATCCAACTCAAAGTCAATACATAATTTTAGCTACACATTGAACTCACAACTTTTTAACCATACATTCCATCAACTTTTATCAACATCCATTACCATTTTTATCTAAACCAAACAGGAGCTTAATGTGTGTAATTGGTCATTATGGATAGTTTACATCCAATTGACCTCAAAAATGGCGATTATATTGCCACCACAATTTTTATTTGATACACCACATTTTAATTACAATTAAGCTCATCATTCTTTGCTAATTGTAGCAAGAATTTCCTTAACTTTTTTCCGTCGACAGTGGCGGATGCAAGCATTTTGAGTTAGAGGGACAATCAAACTAGCAAAATAGTTGTAAAAAAAAAATTTAAGCCCCTCAATAACTTAGTACAATTGTTCTCTACGCGTTCTCATACATTCATAATATTGCATAATTACATCATTTTGTCAAATACAAAACTACGGAACAACAGGAACTACCGGAAGAAAGATATAGTTTTGTGTTGCAAATAAAAGATTTGGAACAGGAGCTCATATCTTTAAGCAACCTGAAAAATGAATTCTAAGAGCAGCTGAAAAGTAAATGCGAGAACTTTGTTCAGTTGTAACAGGAAACAGAAAGCCTGCAAGCTAAAACTTCAGGGATGGAGAGGGAATTAAAGAAGAAAAGAGGTTGAACTCTCTACTGTACAGAAGCAATCTGAAGATAGAAAGAGTGAAGCGTCTGCTCAAATCATTGCTTTGACTGCGGAAATAAGAAATTTTCAAGGGCAATTGGGTCTTTTGAGAGCACAGAAAAGTGAAGGGTGAGAAAAGAAGTGGAGAAATATCAGAATTTCTTATTCAGATAGAAAGGCTAAAAGACGAATTATAAAGCAAAACTATTGATGGACAGAGAATAGTGGAAGAAAAGAAGGGCCTGGAAAAAATATTTCTTAATTGGAGAAAACACTAAAAGAGAGAGTTGATGAAGTAACTTCTGTCAAGAGAAAAATGGAGGATGAGCAGAATGAAGCGTCCAGTGAAATTGCTGCATTAACAGAACAGATTAACCATTTGCATCAGCAAATAGACTCGCTGCAGTCAGATAAAGCCAGTTGGAGGATCTAACAGAAAGAGGTAAACGAGAGTCTATGGAAAGTTTGGCTCAAGCAATTCAACTGAAAAAATGATTCTTCTATCATTAAAAGTGCTACAAAATTAAGCATAAAGATTTCACAATTGCCTAATAATGCTGCCCCTATTTTGAATTTTTGATGAAGCTTCCAAAATAAAGTTCACAAATCACAAAATAAATCTCACAAATCACAATTCATCCATCACCAATCACAAACAAATTACAAATAAGCATAACAAATATATTTCGAAATTGAAATTCCAGAATCAGATATTGATTGAACTCTAGGCAAAGCAAAGTAAAGCAAAACTGACCTTTGGCTTTGGACGGGCTGGCCTGGCTGTGACCGCGTGGCGGACTGACGGCAGGAGTGGACCCGGCCGAATCGAACAAGGTTGAATTGCAGGCAGCGCAAACGCAGGCTGGAGGGTTTTTCAAATTCCAAGGGTTCCTCAAATGGAGGATTTTACAGGAGACCCGAGGGAAAACGTTCGTTCCTGTACAATCAAATCCCAATATAAAAACCAAGCTAAAAAGTTGAAATAGAGACCTAATTGGATACATAAAAAAGCAAAATTTACGGAGTCAATTGTTTTAATGGTCATTGAACTTTGATTCATATTTTTTACTGGTTACTGAAGTTTAAAATGTTAAATTTTAATTACTAAACTTAGGATAATGTTTTCTATTGCTCACTAAACTTATGTCCACGTCTTATATTGTTCACTAAAATTTAAAATGTCGAGTTTTGGCTATTGAATTTTGAAATATTTCGTATGTTACTCATTAACATAATTGTTGAATTTTGAAAAATATCGAGTTTACAATGAGTAATATACAGTATTTTTCAAAGTTCAGTAAGTAATGTACAATATTTTTCAAAATTTAGTGACCAAAACTTGACATTTTAAATTTCAGTGACCAATAAAAAATATGAACCTAAGTTCAGTAATTAAAACTCAATATTTTAAACTTCGATGAACAATTAAAGACATGGACTTAAGTTCAGTGACCATTGGAACAATTAACTCAAATTTACGAGAATAAGAGGAATTGCGACGCTCTAAATTGCAATGGGCTTTTCTATGGATTTTTTTGATAGTGCCCAAATTAGACATGGCACAGTTTGTAAAAACTAGCCTCCTATCTCGAAAAATTAAAGGAAAATTTTAAAGGAAAAAGAGAAATTCTTCCACAAATCAAGCAAAAACAAGATCGAGGTTACTTCAACATTCATTTCTCAAAGTTTTACAAAATTACATGTTCTTTTTTATATTTTGAACTCTTTATTTAATTAGTTCCCCATTCTATCATTTTAAGATTGTTTAATGCTCTCTTTGCATATATTATGAAAGCAACAATCGTAATTATCAATTTTTAGAAATTCCCATTTACAAATTCTAATAATCATAGTGCAATGTCTATCTGACTTTTTATTTGAATTTTGTAATTAGGTATAGTTCGAGGTTCTTTTTTTTTTCTTTTTTTCTTTTTTTTGAAGGATTATTATTATTATTATTATTATTATTATTATTATTATTATTATTATTATGATTTCGCTATTGTGATTGGAAACATGTTTGAAAATAACATTGTAATTTATGATTTTTTTTTTATGACTTTGCTATTGTTATTGAAAACATGTTTGAAAATAAAATTATCGAACTTGAGAGGAAATAGATTTTGCTAACAAAAAAAAAAAGGGGGGGGGGGGGGGAAAAAAAAGAAAAAAAAAAAATAAAAAAAAAAAAACTTCAAAAAAAAAAAAAAGGGGGGGGGGGGGGGAAAAAAAAGAAAAAAAAAAAATAAAAAAAAAAAAACTTCAAAAAAAAAAAAAAGGGGGGGGGGGGGGGAAAAAAAAGAAAAAAAAAAAATAAAAAAAAAAAAACTTCAAAAAAAAAAAAAAGGGGGGGGGGGGGGGAAAAAAAAGAAAAAAAAAAAATAAAAAAAAAAAAACTTCAAAAAAAAAAAAAAGGGGGGGGGGGGGGGAAAAAAAAGAAAAAAAAAAAATAAAAAAAAAAAAACTTCAAAAAAAAAAAAAAGGGGGGGGGGGGGGGAAAAAAAAGAAAAAAAAAAAATAAAAAAAAAAAAACTTCAAAAAAAAAAAAAAGGGGGGGGGGGGGGGAAAAAAATGCTAAAAGAAAGTTACATAAAATGAAAGAAAGTATGAAATACTAAAAAAGTACAGAAATTTATAATCACTTTAAAAACCACAAAAAATTGAAAAAAGTGACAAGACATAAATTAAAACATTGGAACCAATTCAATAAAATGATAGAAAAAAAAATTGACACAACCACCATTTTTCCTCTTTCTTTGTTCAGTGCCAAGTATCTTTAAGTCAGTTTACCAATAAAACACCAATTAAAATACTAAATATTTTTAAGTCAATTCACTGCCTTCATTATCTATCAACTCAACCAACCCATTGACCTCCACTTGAGTGGATCTTATACGAATTCGATGCCAAATCAAGAAAGAGTGAAATCCAGTACTAGAAATAGGTTGTTGAAATCCTAGAAACACAAGATCACCGTGGCGGATGCATATATTTTCAGTTAGAGAGGCACAATCAAACCTTATACAGATCGAATAATTTATTCTTGATTTTTGAATTATTCATATTTGACTCGAAAAATGAAGATTTACGTTTAAAAAAATCCCTTTATTAATATTTTGGTCATCATTTTAATTCATTTAATTTCGAACGGTCCTTTATTAGTATTTTACTCATCACAAGAGAATGCATATTTACGTTTAAAGAATTTATAATGTATTTGAAATTTTGATCCAAACATTAAAAAGATCAATTCAAGTAACTGAAAGGAAAAAATTTATTACAAATATTTAGTACTAATTATCAATTAAATAAAAATAATTTGTTAAATATAAGTCAAATTAAATATAATCATTTCATACCCATTCAATAGACACAATTTGATAGAAAAATGCAAATTTAAATTCTAATTAGTTGAAATTTTGATTGGGAAGTAGAGATTTGTACTAGGTGTGATAACTTGTAGAAAACACCAATGTGTTTTGGCAACTTACACAAATACACTAAAAATCGGGCTACTTATAAAAATACACTAAAAGTTCATTTCGAAGTTTTTGTCATACCACATACAAAAGTATAGATGTTAGCACTTGTAACAAACATAGTATCCACATGTACCCCATTTTCTCTCTCATCTACTACTTGTACAGAACCACATGATAGAGTGAGGTGGAAAAAAATGAGTAAGCTGAAATTTGAAGACCCGGCATAAAATAAAATTTGAGGACCCTACCCAACACCACCTTTCCCCAATTTCCCCAAACCTCGGAGAAAGCCCTAAGAGGCGATCCAATGGCGATCCGAAGGCGATCGAAGCATCATCTCTTCTCTCCGTCCCATCTCCATCCTTCTCCTCCTCCAGCGTAGAACTCAATGCCGCCGCAGACGAAGTCCAAGAAGTTACAGCTTTTTGATTTATCAATTCCAAACTGAACTCGATAATTTCGTTCGACCTCTGTAGCTGCAACCACCATCTTCTCTGGTGAAATCGGTAGATAAATTATGTGCTTATGATATGTAGTTTGCATGGGTACTCATCAGACCTCATACTCACAGCTGAACCTGCAATGTTAAGTTTCAAAGCATTGTCAACTAAACTTTATAATTCAAGCCCTCTTCTGGATCATCGTCCTCTAAAAATTCCCATAATCTTCTACTCCTAAACTCAATTTGTTCCTCTTGAAATGAAACTTTTTTTGCAGATTTTGTTTCATTTTCAACAACCTCCCCTTGTTCAGCCTCTTCATTGTCTTGGTTTGTGAAGATAAGTTAGAATTATCTGCATTTTCGGAAGCTACAACTGCTTCCTTGGTGTCCCAAAACAAACCCTCTAGTTCATTATACATGGCTTTGTATAAATTGCTCATGAGAAACTCGGGGGCATCAGGGCCATTAAATCCATCATAAATTTCGACAAAAAGCCATCCATGCTCTTCTGATACGACAACATGTACTCTATCCTCCCCCTGCCTTACCCAAGGCCCAATGAACATTGCAAGAATTTGACCTTCTTTGTATCACATACTCACCTTTGAAAAGTGTTCACTGCAAGAATTTGACCTTTTTTGTATCACATACATGCCTCTGGTTATTGCAAGAATTTCATCTTCTCTGTATCACATACATGCCTCTGGTCACTGCAAGAATTTTACCTTATTTGTATCACAAATTAATTTGACCTTCACATTGAACGTGCTTATTGCAGTTTGATAAAGCCACATTTAATGAGTCATTGAATGTGTTTATTGCAATGTATAATGACGTGACAAAATGATGGAGTATGACATGGATGTTGAAGACGTGGTCACATATTTGCGGATTGCCAAAATAAGGTCACTTGCCCGTGGTGTAAAGATGCCTATGTGAAGTGTTTTGTGGTGGTAAAAAACACTAAGAACAAAGGTAAATTGTTCAAGTGTTGTAGCAAAAAATTGCGAATTTTGGGAGTGGTTTAAAAAGGGTGAAACGTCCGGTGAATTAAGTTCTGTTGGCAACTCCTTCACTAATCATGTGGCGACTGAATTAAAGAACGTCTCTTGCATGTTCGAAACGATGTGCCGATTAACTCAAAAAAAAGATGTGGAGATAACTGTGACAATACACAAAGGAAATGCAAATGCAGAATGTGATCAGAAAGGAAAAGGGCCGTCATGTTTTTCTGCAGTAGTTTTGGATGTCGAAATTTGAAGTTTCTATGTATCTATCAAATGTGGATTTATCAAACATTTGCTTTCTTAGTTTGGAATTAGGAATGAATAAATGCATATTAGTATATTAACTAGCTGCTAGGCTGGTAGGAAAATGGTGATTTAGAGATTGCATGTCATCTGTGCGCTCTATATTTTTGTAATCAATCACCATATAAAGTTCAATCATTTTTTTATTGGAAAATCGATTGCCCATCAGTTTGTTTTGAACGATGTTTCTTCAACAACTGAATATCCATCATAACTATAATTTCAATTTTTAACCAAATTTGCAACCTTTAGTAGGCATGTGTAACAAGTTGAATAGAGAATGAATATGGTCAAGTCATTCCAGCAAACAACTAAGATTTGCAAGCTCCAAACTTAAGAAAATGATGATATGACTACTCTAATATTCATTCTGTCCGATTAGCAAGAAAAATAATCATTATAGTGCCTGGTTTCAAGTTAAATCTAAAGTGAGGCAGCAGAAATTTTCACTAAGATCAAATTACACCCTCTGATAAGAATCTGCCTACTAATAATAACAATTGAGTTGGAATTTGGTGTCCCCATATGTAAATTAAGGCTGAAAAGAGAAGTAGTACTTAGAACACAATATTAAAATATCAAAAAGCTTTATAAATGACAATATTAAATTGTGTCTATCTCATAATAATATAAATGAAGGACACATTCCACGACGACTTGTATAAAGACAGGATATGTTGAAAACCAACTTAATGCAACAGCTTTAGTTGGACAACTTGGCATGTCAACTTGT